TTTTCCGGCGAAGCGTTATCGCTTTAGGCACCACGCGCTGCCAGCGCGTGTGGCGGCGTGTGGGCAGTAAGATGGGGACCACAGTCAGTCCTAGAATGATCTCCTAGTCCTCACGAGCGCGTAGGATTTCGCGGATCTTAATTCGGATATCGTTTGAACCCCGAACGGATCTCGCCTACTGTGCGATTTCCGGGTTCACTACGTTTGAACCGTTGGATAGTAGTTAATTCCAAGTATGTTAATCTAGACTTTCCCAGGATCGTATCGTATTTGACGGATCGTAAAACGGAGTCCCGGATACTCCAGAATGGTCAGCCCTAGAGCAGTTTTACAGTTCAGTTACAGGTCAGGAACAGAGAAAAGAACTACGTGTGGCTTGATCCCTCAGTAAGGTTACGTAGCCAGCCTACAGTTATTTTAGGCGCAGCCACGAGTTAAGGGCTCAGGGTTTATGTTATTGTTTTCAGGGTATTTTCGTCTTTTACGATCCACAGATACCAGGTGTCAGTTTAAAACGGGATTCGGCCCGGATTTCAAAGTGGAATTTGGGTCGGGTCGTTTCACAACATGTGATGTAGACTCATGAAGCTCAAAAGCGTCCTTCACAAAAAATAAATTATAAAAATAAAAAAATAAAAAAAGAAAGAGAAAAAGAGATAAATAAGCACATATGGTGACTTTAGATTCGCAAGAGTGCTTGTCTTTGAGGTGTGAGCACAAGGACGCGATGTCGAAGTCCTCGTAACAATATAGGCATGGGAAGTCAGGTCAGCCCTTGTCTTCAACCTTGAAATCATCGATGCTTAAGAGCATCTCCACCCATAAGGGCTAAGGCAAGGGCAAGGGCAAGGGCAAGCAAGGGCTGCCACTATTCACATGAATAGTGGCAACCTTGCCATTTGTGGTTCCATCCCAAAAGGTTAGGGTAAGGGCAAGAAAAAAAAAATGCAACAAAATATAAACTTGTTATGTATTAGTGAATAAAATTGTTATGTATTTATAGAGAAAACATCCATAATTTTTTGGTATTTTTTTCAAATTTTTTTATTATTTTTTTTGCTCGCTGACGTCAACGTGACATCACCGCTGACTTCAGCGCCCTCGGGCTATGGGCTTGCCCAGGCTGGTGGGACCCAGGCCTTGCGCGTTGGAGGTCTAAACCCTTCAAAAGGGGCCTCCTGCCAAGGCTAAAGGCCCTACGCTAGATATGCTCTAACTGATCTAATAAATTTTTTTTTTTTACAGAATAAGAAAAAGGAGAAATGATATATCAGATTCAATAATTGAACAGAGATGAAATGAGAAATGAACACAAAAAAAAAAAAAAAAAAAAAAAAAGAAAAGAGGGCATACAAACCAAAGTGGGAGCTTTGGTGAAGGTGCTGCAACGTGTACTGGTATTTGGTGGCGGCGAGGCGAGAGGTCCAGAACTCAGAGTCCATCGAAGAAGAAGAAAGATACGATTCGATCCGATTCGCTTATGTGTCTAGCTCTCTCTCTCTGATTGATTGATTTCTCAACAAATTAATTTTCACAAAAGAGATAGAGAGATTGGGATCTGGGTTTTGAGGGGGGTGGGATAAGGAGGGGGGATGGGTTGCAAGAGAGAGGGAGAGACAGAGCGAAAGAGAGGGATTTTTATTTTTATTTTTTATTTTTACATTTATTTATTTATTTATTTTTCCTCTTTGCTTGGCCTTGGGGTAGGGATGAGCTGGAGTAAGCCCTTGGTGGTGACCACTTTCTTGCAGCTGCCGTGCTCCTATTGTTCTAATTAAAAAAAAAATCACTGTTTTCAGTTTTTTTCTTCAGACTCAAACTTTTACCCTTAATTTTGACAGATAAATTGACAGAGTTAGACGGTATGACCCAATTGCAACTATTTGTCCAATTAAAGGATGTAATTGGCACAAAAAAA